GGAAAGAAGATCAAAGGGGGGGGGGGGGGGACACACGGACGGACAGTGGGTGGATTGTTGAATAGATAGATGGGTTGATAGATGGGTAGAATAAATAAATAAAAAATTAAAGAATACTGCGTTCACTAGATTTCTTTGCTAACACAGTAAAATTTGCTCAAAATTTTGTCTGTCTTGTTTCCCCAGCGTTGGAGCAGATAGGGTCCAATTGCAGAGCCTTGGATTAGATTTACTTCAAAATTCGGAAGTATTCCCTAACTCTTTGAAAGGGCTGAAATGGTTATAGCATAACTTTACATGTAAAGTCTCTCCTCTCAGGAGCACAACTAGAGGGAAAGTATCTGGTCGGTCCTGTTCATTTTTGATGGCTGTAGCTCACTTCTGTAGCCTGGCTGGTAGCCAGAAAGCAGAGAATACTTACATGGTTTCTTTTTAAATAGGCATGTGTGGGTTTCTTATCTTTGGTGTTTTTAAGAGGCAGAAAATACACACTATACACAGCAAAACATAGAACTTTATTCTGCCTTGTCAACTTCTGTGGCACAGGGTAAAACTTAACAGCATCTAATGTAAAACAATAGGCAACAAAATGTTTTTTATCACCTCAGAAATAGCCCATATCCTCTCACCTTTCTGCAGGAGTTCATAAATTTTCTTTGGCACCAGAAGCCCTATAAAAACACTTCTTCCCAATACCAGAAAAAAAAAAAACCAACTTTGTTTCTTGAAAGTTACATTTTGCGTGGAGAATGTGTAGATCTTACTGTAAGGCAAGAAGACTGACAAGCTTTTCAAACAGTGAATTTTATTGAATGCAATGAAATTACTCATGCTGTCAGCTGGAAGAAAATATATTGCTCAGGTAAAGTGTAAAATGTGCTTTTTTTGAAAATGCAATACAAATGTGATACTCCTTAAGAATCCCATTTACAGGGAATGTTTTTAACTGTGGTAGCAGTATTACCCAGGGTAATAGAAATGTGCCAATTTTTTAAATCCATTCTCTTCATGAATTCTGGTGAGACAGTCTTGACACTTTCTATTTATGAGCTTCCCCTTCTCTTTAAACCCAGTAAGGAGGGAGATGCTGCCATTTGTCGCTATTGCAAGGCTGAGGTCTTGTGAGGCTGATGGTGGAGCCGCCT